GTATCAAACTGGTAGCCCTTCGTATGACTCAGTACCCATGAAGTAGCTCTCAGTTTCAAAAAGGTTGGTGACCCCTGCTTTAGTGTCTAGTGTGTGGGTATGAGTGAATGTGATCCCTTTGTAGGTGGTGGTGTCCAGGAAGTCTGTGTGTGTTATGTGTGGTGTATTTAACCGTGATTGAGTTGTGGTGTGTATAAGTATATCTATAAATTGGTAGAATTCCTCTAGACTTGTGTCCATGTTCCCCATATATCATCTATGTAATATTTTGTGGAGCTCCCTGGCTGTTTCTAGGTATATGGGCTGGTTTAATTTCCTGTAATGTTCCTGGTTGTTAAATTGCCGGGTTGCTTCCTCTATGTACTGGGCTCTGTTCATTATTACTATAGCACTTCCCTTGTCCACAGGTTTTATAACTATGTGTTTGTTTTTAGCTAGTTCCAAAAGTGCTTGGTTTTCTCCTTGTTGGGGTTAAGTGCCTGTGTTATAGTGTGGTCTCCTAGGATGATGTCCGTGATTTCTTTGGGGATTTGGTTTAGATTAGGTTCCCAGGTGGATTTAGGTGTGAAGGGGATGAAGTCTCCTGATTCTTCCCCTTATAAAAATGCTGTTAGTTTACGTCTACGGTGGTATTCCTGGGTCTCCACTTCTTTTAGTTTTATCCTAGTGCCAAATGTGGGGATGAATGACAGGCCTTTGTCCAGTAATTTAATTTGGTCCTCTGTAGGAGTAAAATTGTTAGCCAAAATTACTATATTTTTTTTACTATTATATTTAGGAGGTTAGTGCTGGGACTGGGATGAGAGTTAGAGGGTGTGAGGTTAGAGTGAGGGATGAGGATGGAAGAGTGACAGGGTAGGAGGTTAGTGCTCGGGCTAGTGGGTGTAGAACTGAGGCTTGGGTGAGGAGGGATAAGGTTAGTGGGTGTGGGGGTTAGATTAGTGGGCTTGGAGTGAAGATGTGCTGTTGTCCTTAGAGTGAAGATGTCCGACTTCATCCATAACAACTTGAATTGTTTTGGTGGTTCTGTAGTCGGGGTCTCTTTCTCCTTGGGTAAGTTTTCCTGGGGTGGTGGTGTTGCCGGTGTTATAGAATCCCTCGTCAGCACTGCTGTGTTGCTGAGGTGTGGTCTCTTTTGTCCTGGGGTTCTCTGTGGGAGTGAGTCTGCCTGTCGGTCGGCTGGGTGGGCCCGTCTGAGGTCCAGTGTTCTGTTTCCTGTGCTCTGGCTGTGGTTGTGGATAAGGAAGAAGCATGCTAACTTGGAACTTTTGTTGGAAAAAAGCTTAGCAGTTTGTAGCTTCAAAACTTGGGTAGCTTTGTGTTAGCTCTAACTTGGCAGAGGATTAGCATTAGCATTAGTAGCCTGATCTGTTTTCTGCTTTAGCAAGTGCAGGGTTCATTTAAAGTGTAAGAGTATAAGGCTGTGTAACCTGCTGGGTGAACGTTTCTTATGCACTGTAGTAGTAACTTCTCCTAGTAGGCGTTTTACTTGGCAACATGTGCAGCAAAATTGAGTCTACTGTTAAATTGAAGTGGACCCAATTCAATGAAACAACAGTGAAGAAGGTTGAGCATCAGGTAAGAGGTTAAAGTGTCTCCATCTTTGCAATTGTTCATTCGGGTGTTGGTCTCATTGGTAGTAACATCATATGGAACCCGTTCAAGATCCAGACCTAATTTGGTGGAAAAGGGGGTACTTCTGGTCCATGCTTGTCTTCCCAATAGTTCCCATTTGGGAGCCATGATTGCAGTTTTTAATTTCATTTTACCTGTGCATTTCCTACTATTCCATGATATTTATGAAAATGTGCACATTTAGAACATAGTTTTGAGGACTATTTGACATTTGAATTCACATTTAAAACAATAGTCTGTGATTCTGCCCCTCCACTGAATTTAGTTTTGGCTACTTATGGTTTACTGACTTTAAACGCACCTATCAGCTAAAATTATACATTTTCCCTTGGTTGTGAATAGGATATCTTCCAATGGGGAAAAATAACATTGTTGCTAGTGGAGTTTTGGTTGGTTGGAGCCGGAAAAGTCACCAAGCTGGCAACACTAAGTGAGGGTACTGGGCGCAACCAAGTCAGGGGAGTCAAAGACTTGTTTTTTTTTTATGAATGGAAATTAATTGAAAATAGGAATGAAATAACAAGAGACAGTGCTCAAAAAAAGGAGGACATATTTATTTATTTTGTACTGTATATTGCTGGGGACAGAGAATGTGTGGTTATGCCCTAGTTTCCAAAAAACTCAAAATGGTAGCCAATTATCTGTGTTTTTTGGATGTGACAACATTAAATCTCTACACTTTGGGTGATTATTAGGAGATATTTGGGCTCATAAATCCTAAACTATACAGTATTATAATACTTAGATTTGTATAATGATATAAAGTCTACTTGAAGAAAATAGAATCATATCCCCTGTACTTTAAATACTGCACATATTTAAGTGCACTCAAGACAACTGCGTTGCTTCAACTGTTAATTTTTGAGTTGGGTTTATTTCATGGGAATGACTCTTGACTTGAAAATGACTTTTTTGGAGGAGTAATTGTGTGAACTATATGCTGTCAGGTTTTACAGTGTATCTGTGTATTTCTTACACCCACTCCACTCTTGATTAATATAACCCTTTCCTGGTAATCTTTTTTTATTTATCTTTTTTACTTTAGTGGTGAATGAGTTCGAAAAAAAACAACTGGATGTTGGTGATTCTGCACTCGTATTCAGCTGCTATAAATCAGCTGCAGTGGCTCCTTTATGGCTGCCTCATCATGTACACAGGATGTCTTTACCATATGTTATAGCAGGGACTGTTTGCTGCCTCATAAATCAAGCCATATTTAGTGTGCCGGTATCAGTGATACTGACACCTGTGTGGTACAGAGATATGTCGGTTCTATGCGTTAGGTCTCATAATGCTGTCATGTATAAAGTAGGTGTGATGATCAGATGGCTGGCACTATTAAACAGTAAGTGACCAGCCATGCCTGCCAGATGCTTCCTTAGGAATTGGAAGCATTATTAATGTTGTTGTGGAAGAATAAGGCACTGCATGCTGCGGTGGAGGGGTGGATCAGTCTCTATGCCACTAACGTAAATCTTTTGAAACTACCCAATTGATTTCTTTTCATCTGAATAATTAAAATTGGTTGCATTTTATCTATTAACAAATGGATTTACTTTGAATAAGCACAACTATAACATATTAAAGATAAGATTACTGTAAAACCTGACAACACCTCTTAATAAATGACAGACGATATGATTCCAGTTTCACAGTAACTTCAATTAACTGAATTGAATTAGTAAAATTAATTTAATTTACCCAAGTTACCTCAACAATAAACACTTGAGTTACTTAAATCAAATTTCCTTCATGCTTAAATTGATTGAGTTAATAAACCTTAAACAGTTTAAGCAATCTGTTTCCTCAAACAGTTTAAGTTGAACTAACTTATTAGGTTTTACACTGTGCTATTAAAAACATACAGGTTTTAGTTTTCAGAATTAAAAGAACGGTGGAGGGAGATTTCAAACTCACTTGAGTGTTTGCAGACTTTCTTTTAAAAAGGTCTGTTTCTCTCTGTCTTTATTTCTTCTTTTTTATGGGGCTGATTCACTTTGAAAATACTTTATTACCTTGACTGGAGATACCTGATTTGATTTGGAAAAAAAAACTGAAAGTTTGCCACGTGTTAAGGCCTCAGTATACTCGCCGTTTCCGACCTGTCGCACGACACTGGCGCGAGGTCGCGCACCACTCTT